GTATGCTTCGATCTGCATTCAAACTCCATAGTTCTTTCTTTGGATGTGGATAGTATTTTCTATCATGAGGCCTTTGAAGATGTCTTAGATGCTTGTATTGCTGAGAAGGGTTAAGTCTACCAATATTAGTACCTAACTGATTATGTTATTCCCTTATTTGATGACAGTAAGGTTCAAACAATGCTCATCTCCCTCCCTTCTTTCCCTCTGCTGGAATAGGTTTTTGTGCCTTTTCTGGTAATGTAATTTACCCTTGTCTGCCTCCTCTTTTTCTTTTCTGTCAGTACGTTTTCTTAGTTAGATGAGATTAATCCACTTACTTGGATCCATTTAACCCACTTGATTAGTTTTTTTTATCATTACATCAAAGGCAACTTATATCCACCCCCTTTATGTATACCCCTTTAACTGGTGTAATAACAATACAGTTCTCAAGGGTTACAAGCGTCATCTTCCCTTGTAGGGATGTAAACAGTTTGCCCTTATTAATAACATGTTTCTTCTGTCCCATTCACCTTTTTATGTCTCTCTTGAGTCTTGTATTTGAAGATCAAATTTTCTGTTGAGCTCTGGTCTTTTTATCAGGAAAGTCTGGAAGTCCCCTATTTTGTTGAATATCCATCTCCTGCTCTGAAAGATCACGCTCATTTTCACTGCGTAGCTGATACTTAGTTGTAATCCAAGCTCCTTTGCCTTACAGAATATCATATTCTATGCCCTAAGGTCTTTTAATGTAGAAGCTGCAAGTCCTGTGTAATCCTGACTGTGGTTTCATGATATTTAAATTGTTCCTTTCTGGCTGCTTGCAGTATTTTCTCTTTGACCTGGTAATTTTGGAATTTGGCTATTATATTCCTTGGCATTTTCAATTTGGGATCTCTTTCAGGAGGTGATGGGTGGATTCTTTCTAGGGCTATTTTACCCTCTGATAACCTCAGGGCAGTTTTCCTTTATGATTTCTGAAAGATATTGTTCAGGCTCTTTTTTTCATCGTGATTATCAGGTAGACCAATTATTTTTAAATTGTCTCTCCTGGATCAGTTTTCCAGATCAGTTGTTTTACCAATGAGGTATTTTACATTTTCATCTGTTTTTTCATTCTTTTTTTTCTGTTTGACTGATTCTTACTCTCTCATAGAGTCATTAGCTTCCATTTGCCCAATTATAATTTTTAACAAATTGTTTTCTTCTTCTATTAGATTTTGTACCTCCTTCCTCATTTGACCAATTGTATTTTTTAGGGACTTGTTTTTTTCAGTGTACTTTTTTCCCAGTTGGCCAATTGTATTTTTTAAGGACTTGATTTCTTTAGTATACTTTTTTTCTAGTTGGCCAATTGCATTTTTCAGGGACTTGTTTTCTTCAGTGTACTTTTTTTCCAGTTGGCCAATTGTATTTTTTAAGGACTTGTTTTCTACAGTTAATTTTTGTCCTTCCTTTTCCAAGCTATTGACTCTTTCTTGCATACCTCTCATTTCTTTTCCCATTTTTTTTTCTTCTTCTCTCATCTGACTTTTAGAATCCTTCTTGAGCTCTTCTAAGAAGGCTTGTTGGGCTTCAGACCAGTTCTTATTCCCTTTTGAGGTTCCAGATGTGGGTTTGTTGACAATGTTGTCCTCTTCAGAATTTCTGTCTTGATCTTCTCTCTTCCCATAATAAGAATCTATTGTACATTTCTTTCTGCTCATGGCGTTTGCTTATTTCCTGGCCTTTAAAGAGATTGAGCTCTCCTGCTGGGGAGCAGAGGGCACTGACTGAAGCTTCTTGTGTTGGGAGCCTAGGGCCTGGTCACTGGCTTTGTGTGCTGGGGCCTCCAATGCTGGCAATTGGAGGCTGTAGGGTGCTGGCAGCTTACCTGGTGTTGGGCTGGAATCAGCAACACTGGAACTCTAGGGGTAGGATTGGATAGCGTGGCTCCTGAAGATTTCGTGCTCACCCGGGCCTTTCCTTCCTTTCAAATTCTTCAGCTCCTTTCAGATGGATGTTGCAGGATGTTTATCTACCTGGGGCCCCTTAGAGTGCTGCTTCCCTTAGTTTTGCTGAGGCACTGGGAGACCCGGTTGCTGTAGAATTCTGAGGAACCTGGTGGTTTTCCAAGAAAGTTTCCATCGGTTCCCCGCTCTCACTGAAGCACTTGGGGGTCCAGGTATTGGTGTTTGCCTGCTCCACCACCTGGGTTTCAGGATCTCCTCCTGGTATGCTGAGGTGGGGCTTTCCACCAGCTTGCTGGGATGCCTCTTGTTCTGTACTGCTCCCCTTCCCCCAGGGCAAGAGGGACCTCTCCCATTATTCCCTCAAGCTACCTGGGCTACTGGACTGCTGCACCCCATCTTTCTTCTGGTTCAGCTGTTCCAGGGTTTTTCCTGGGGCCTCTCTTACTCTCTTTTGCCCCTTCTTGTAACCCTGGTGCTTAGCACAGTGCCTAGCACATGTTACATGCTTAACAAATCTTTACTGATTGATTATTGATTGAACTTCTTATGTTCAAGGTCTTTGAGTTTTCTTCTTCTGGAGATTTTTGGTACCTTCTCTTTTTTCCCCCTGATTTCCCCTATTCACTTTCTGGCTCTATCCCCTCTGATGGTAGTTTCCTTCAAACCTGGATTTCAAAGCCTCTCAGGCTCCACAGTTCACCAACCTAGGTCTTTGCCCCAAGTGACTTTTGGGTTAGGGTTAGTCAGAACTGACCCTGCTGAGTGCTGTGCACATTCCCCCAGACTTAGATGATTGCTAAAACCACTTCTCTCTCCCTATCCCCACAACATGCAAACATGGTATCCTGTCCTGGTGACCTGTTCTGCTTCCTCTGTTCTTCAATTCTCTGGCCCAGTACCAACAATTCAGGGCTTTGCCATGCTGGTATTTTTGTTCCTGAAGGGCTTCAGCCAGCTGACTGTCTGACATAGCTAGAGTAAATTTCCACAGCCCGGAGTTAGGATCTCCATAGAACTGGAAACAGAGAGGGAACCTGGGAGTAGGAATGGGTTGTGTTGCAGGTCTGTGTGTCCAGTCCTTGGATCTGCTAGTGCAGCCTGCTTGTACTTTGAAAGGCTAGAGATGGGTGCTGAGTGAGCTCAGGGTAAGTTGAATGTTAGTTCATAGCTTTGGGGTTTTTTTTAAAAACCTATTTTTGAATTCTGGGTGTCCTAGACCATGAAGATAGCTATGGAATAGTTTTATCTTTGGTGCATAATTTCTGTTTCTGGTTTGAAAGGTCATGGGGATCACAGAAAATATTTAATCCTCCATTTTGTTGCTCATGTGACCCAGAAGTCCCCCAACTAGCTCTTGACAAAAGTATGATGGCTCTCTATAATTGTCACTTCTTCTGGATGTACAGTAGAAGACAGGTAGATGCACTACCCTTTCTATAACAAGTTCTAAAATTCTGATATGAATTGAAACCAAGTTCATCAACTTAAGAGTTTGCCAACTCTACTTTCTTCTTCTTTTTGAAAACTTGTCATTGTGCAGAACAACATTACTTGTCCAAAAACAGAGGTAGAATTATGACCAAACCTAGTTCTCCAGACTCCCAATCCAAATGTTCTTTTTGCTTATACCTCTCTTATAAGTTACCTTAGGGCAGGGATTTTGATTTATATTTTTGTATTCATCATTGTGCCAAATATAGTTCCAGTACATAGTAGACTATCCAGAAATACTTGTTGGATAAAACTGATCTACTTATATTGCCAGATATATGGACAGCCAACAAATGGCTGTCTAGAAAGCTCTCTGTAAACCTTAAAATTCATTGGAACATAAAGTCATGTTGTTGCTTCATTCTGGAGGGGGTAGAAGAACATAGGTGTCCTTACTCTTTATTCTAGTGTTTGTATTACTCTAGGAAAGGAGCACTCACTGCCCTTGGAGCAAAGGACTGGATTCAAATCTTATCTCTGAAATTATGTATATGACTCTGGGCAGCAACAATAACAAAAATAATAGCTAACTTTTATCTAATGCTTGACATGTATATAATTTCATTTGATTGTCACATCAATTGACTTAACCTCTCTAAAACTCAGTTTACTCATCTATAAAATGAGAAATTGGATAGCCTGAGATCTCTTCCAGACCTATGATACTATAACCTGTGTAACTATCATTTTGTAAATAGTTCCTGTTAAATAACTGTTAAGACAGATCTGATTATTCTCCAAAGAGATTTCATTAATGTAGATCCTGTAATACCAAGTTTGCTTTTTAAAAAGTTAGACTCCTTTGAAATCAGAACATCTTTTTTTTTTTTTTTTTTTTGGCTGGCCACTTCCACAGTCAAATTTGATTACCACAAGAAATCTGGCACTGTGATTTCCTGGCCGCTTTAGGGCATAATCACAACATAAACCTAACTTTTTAGAAAAGGTTACCCATCTGCAACTCTATGGAGTGGAGGCTGCCACAAGTCCTGAGCTCTCCCAACATCCTTCCAGAAACCAGGGCAGTATTGCTCAAATGACTGGATAAATGTAAAATAATTTGCAAACCTTAAAAGTACTATATATTTAATTGCTAACTATTGTTATTAACCGAAGCAGGAACAGGAGGAGTCTATTCTATGGGAAGCTGCTAAATCATTGAATCAAGGAATCTCAAGAGAGTTAGTTGGAAGAGATCTCAGTGACCATCTAGTCTTCCCCCAACCCCCAACCCCCCAGAACTGAAAGAAGAAGTCTCTAAAGTGAGAAGGGCAAGTGAGTGGAGAAGAAAAGAAAGAAAGAAAGAAAGAAATATGGAAGAGAAAGAAAAAAAACATGTAAGTCCTATCCATAGTACTTAGCGCATGGTAGGAGCTTAATCAATGCTTACCGACTGCCTTATTTACTGGTAAATAACAAGATTGTGACTCTGCCTCTGGGGATCAGCCCCCACAGTCCCCATACAAGATGGGCTTCAATGAGACCCCCTTCCCCTAATGTATCCTGACCAGAGGGGAAAAACCCAACATGGGCAGGAACCAGCCCTGCTCCCCCCCCCCGACCCCGGTCACTTACTGTGGGTGACAGTGACGGTCACTGAGGGCCCTGACATCTCTGCTGAGGCCATTCCCTCGGACTCCCCGAATCCCAGGCCTGACGATCATTCACTGGCCCCCCAGGTTCTGCCCCCTCCCCACGCTGCAGGTAAGAGACCCAACCTGCCAGGCGCCCAAACCTGTCCAGGCTGCTGAGCATGCTCAATGCAACTCCAAGGAGAGCCACCAGGCGAGAGGCCAAAGTCCGCCTCTCCGCAGCTTAGCAGCAACCAGAGGCAGTCTGGACTGAATGGGACAAGGGGAGGCTTGCAGGGAGGGAGGAGTCACAGCCCTCCCTAATCTCTGATTTCCCAGCCCTTCTTTGCTCCTGTTCCCTAAACCTGGAATACCCCGTCCTTATCCCGCCCCTTCCCTTTTCCATCTCTTCTGGTCAAAATCCTAGCCATTCTTAGAGTCCTCGTTCAACTTAGAACCTTCTCTGATTAAACTTTCAGAAGACTTTGCAGTTCTCTTCAAAGTGTCCTTGACGTTTTCTAGTGCCTTACCTCTGTTAATTATTTCCTATTTAGGGGACTGGCTGAACAAGTTGTGGTATATCAATGTAATGGAATACTATTGTACTATAAGAAATGATGAACAGGCTGACTTCAGAAAAACCTGGAAAGACTTGTATGGTCTGGTGCTGAGTGAAGTGAGCAGAACCAGGAGAATGTTGTACACAATAACAGCCAGGTGGTGCAATGACTAATATTGATAAACTTAACCCTTTCCAGCAATATAAGGATCTAAGACATCTCCAAAGGCCTCATGATGGAAAATGCTATCCACATCCAAAGAAAGAACTATGGAGTTTGAATGAAGATCGAAGCATACTATTTGCTGTTTTTTTTCATCTGTTGAGTTTTGTTTCCTCTTTCTGGTGGTTCCTCCTATTGAATATGTTTAATAGGAATGTATATGTATAGCCTATATCAGATTGTGTGCTGTCTTAGGGAAAGTGGTGGGGAGGGAGAGGGAGAAAAATTCTGAACTCAAAAGCATATGGAAGTGATTGTTGATAAATCAAAATAAATTAATTAGAAATAATAATGAAAATTTAAAAAAAATTCTTTCCTATTTATCCTGTATGTAGCTTGCTTGGTATATTTTTTGTTTGCTTATTATCTCCCTCAATAGACTGTAAGCTCCTGGAGGGCAGAGACTGTCTTTTGCCCTTTTTTTTTTTAATCCTTAGAGCTTAGCACAGGTCCTGGCACATAGCAAGCACTTAATAAATATTGATTGACTTCGAGGCAGGTAGCATTGTGGTCTGAGAGGTTGAGACTCCTCAAAGAGCAGAGTACAGCACAGGGTCTTCTGGAATGAATTCACGGACTCAAGAATTCTTTGAGTCAAGGTGGCAAAGATTTAATTGTTATGTTTTTCAGCAGGTATGGATTCTTAAGGAAACCTGCAAGAGACTGAGGAAGGAGCTAGGGTTTATATGGAAAAGGGCATGGGAAAGGAATGCCAGGGATACTGATTAGGTAATCTCAAGATCTAGGTGTCTTGGGAGCTATGGATGGGAAAGTGTAGGGAATATACCAGACAGGGAGGGAGATGTCAGAGGATCTTGGGAATCCGGGGCGGGGGGGGGGGGGGGGGGGGGGGGGGGGTCCCTGGGCCAGCCCGAAAAGTTTTCTCACAAAGACAGGAGCTCACTAAGGAATTGGGAGGCTTCCAGAGACATTATCTTAGGGATAGGGGCAGCTCAGCACTCTCTCACCCAGTTTTGTGCCAACTGGGAGAGAGATAAGTGTTTTGCTGAGGCCAGCTCATGAGTAGTTGCTAGGCACAGTGTCCTTGAGCTGGGGAAAAACTGCTAGGGATAGTTTTTCTGAGGTTAGGGAGAAATTGGGGTCCAAGCACCCCATCAGTAGGTGGTGCAGGAGTTGGAGCAATGGGCCTGCACTCATCAAGACTTCTGTTCAAATGTGGCCTTAAACCCTTACTAGCTGTGTGACCCTGGGCAAGTCACTTAATCTCTGTTCATCTCAGTTTCTTCAACTATAAAATGGGGATAAAACGATAATGGTGCTTTTTAAAGCACCTGGCACATGGTAGGCTCTTAATAAAGGTTTGTTTCTTTCCTTATATTATAGCTGTCTGTAATCTCCTTGAAGACCGATATAGTGTCATATACATAAAGTATTGTACACATAGTAGGCCAGACACTTAATAAATGCTTATTGAACTTGTGTAATTATTTCTTCTACTAAGCTTTACAACAGAGATTTAACTTTAGTGAAGATAGCAGGGGGGCAATGAATGCTACATCTTATTCCCCTTCACATACGGGAGTAACTGGTTTCCTTTCTATTCCTCACATAAGACAGTCTATCTCTGGGCCCTGGTCGTTTTCAGTGTCTGTCCTTCATGCCTGGAACGTTCTCCCTCCTCATCTCCACCTACTGGTTTTCCTGGTCTCAGCTAAAATCCCACCTTTTGCAAAGAAGTCTTTCTCCATCCCCTTTCATGCTAATTCTTTCTCTCTGAGATTGCCTCCAGGAAATTTGTTGCTATAAAGTTGTTTTCTCATCTCCCCCAATCAGATTGCCAGGTTCATGAGAACAGGGACTGGTTTTTCTTTCTTTTTATCCACAGCACTTAACAGAGAATCTAGGCATAGGAGATTAATAAATTTTTGATGATCACTTGTTGAATGGATGAATGAACAGATGAATGGATGAATATAACCTGACTGATGAGATCATTTTTGTGCAGAAGATTATTCAAAATCTTCAGAAAAACTTCTATTTTTCTACAGCATTTGAAGAGTTTCTTTGAAGATATTGTATAACCACTTAACTTTACCTCCAAGTACTTTATTTAACCTCAATTAAACCTTGCAGACTCTAAGTACTCTAAAGACAAGGATAAGACTTTCATCTTAGCATCTTTCAGCACCTAATACAAAACCTTGCAAGTATTAGGCGCTCAATAAGTGTAGGAAGGAATGAATAAAAATCTTTTTGTGCATTATAGTTGCTTATGAGTGATCAAATAACACAAGGAGTTTCTCCAAATAAGACAAACTAACATCTTTCAAGAGTTCAGTTCCACACCTGAGCTTCAGAGAAGTGTTTCTTTTTTGGGCCAAAGAAAAAAGTGAGACTTTTGAAAAATGCTTATTTAATTTTTAAGTCACTGTAAAGAAATCTGGGAAAGCTAAGTGGCACAGGGATAGAGTGGTCTGGAGTCATGAAGACCCGAGTTCAAATGTGACCTCAAACACTCACTAGTTGTGTGACCCTGGGCAAGTTACTTAACCCCGTTTGCTTCAGTTTCCCAGTCTGTAAAATGAGTTGGAGAAGGAAATGGCAAACCACTCCAACATCTTTACCAAGAAAACCCCAAGTGGGCTCAACATGAGTTGGACATGACTGAAAAGTGACTCAACAATGAAGAAATTTGTCATTGTAGACTGAGTTATTTGTTTTTAAAAATGTTTGTTAACACCTATGACTTGCAGAAAGAGAATAGTGTTCAAAACCAAAGCAGGGGTCTGAATTTGGAGTCTAATTGGCCCGAATTTAAAAGCTCCCTATAGGTTTGACCTTGGTCTAGGCACTTAACCTCTCTGCTAATTGACCTTTAGGGTTCATCTCTAGATCCATGATCAAGTAGATTTCAATTTTATTCACATTGATGCATATTAATAAAACTGACCTTTGGCTGTGCCCACAAGGAACTAAAAGAGTGGACAAATCTACCTGTTCAACAGAGGGCAGGGGAGGAGAAGAGGGCCGGCCTCTTGGACTTGGTGGATTTCCCAAAAGTCTGAAGCCTCTCTACTCCCTGTGGGCATGGCCAAAGGTCGGTAACATTTACATCAACTGCAAAAATGAAATCATTACCAGAGTAGGAGAAGGATATTTGATTCATGTTCACTTCACATTTGGTTTCTTAGATGATGTAACACACACAAATGATTCTTTAGAGAAATTTTAAAAGGGACAATGAATCTGAAGACAGAATTGAACATAATTGTGAGGTCAAATACAACTCAAATCTTGTCTATGTATAGTGCTATGTAAATCTGTGGTCTCATGTAGAAGTATCAATTGTACATTTATTGAAATATAAAAAACATGTTACTTTTTACCCATAAGCATCATTGGAAATGGGGTTTCTTAAAAAGAGGGAAAGTATAGAAATAGTATTTTAAGTTAGAGGACATCAGATCCCTGGTTCTTCACCCTATTACCTGTGTGACCTTGGGCAAGTCATCTCCCTTCTCTGGTTTTCAGTTTCCCTATTTAATTCAACACATATTTATTATTCACCTACTATGGGTTAGGCACTGTGATAGGTAATAAGCATATAATTTTTTAAAAATTACATTTCCTGCTCTCAAGGAGCTTGTAAGGAAGAGTGAGGAATAATAGGTACATAAGTAAATAACTACAACATATTTATTTCAAGAGGAAGTGTGTGCAAAAGGACAAGGCCTTTCCTCTCTCTGGGCATCAATGTTCTCATATGAAAAATGTAGGGAGTGGACAGGATGGCAAACATCTAAAGTTCCTTCCTGCTTTTAACATACCATGTTCTAATAGGAACATTTTTACAGCTGTCCATGAAATGATAGGATGGAACTAGATTAGGAATTTTTTAAAAATTATTTTTAACCTCCATTTAAAAAAATTTTGAGTTCCAAATTCTCTCCCTCTCCCTCCCCCATCCATTGAGAAGGCAAGCAATATGATCCCAATTATACATGTGAAGTCATGAAAAATATATTTCTATATTAGCCATGTTGCAAAAATAAAGTGAAAAACACATCAGCTCTCCCTCTCTGAAGGTGGACAGCATTTTTCACTATGAAGTCTTTGGAATTATCTTATATTTATCAGAGTAGCTAAATCTTTCACAGTTGTAGAGCAGGAATTTTAACCTAGAGTCTAGAATTTTTTTTTTTTAATATCTGGGTAATATAATTGCTTTACTTCGTAATCCTGGATATTTTATTTTATACATCTAAAAACACCATTCTCTCGGGTTCCCCAGGCTTCATCAGACTACTAAAGGTGTATATGACACACAAAGGTCAACAAGTACCCCTGGACTACATGATGTCTAGGGGGGCCTTTCAGCTCAATTCTCCGAGCCCAGGACCACGCTGATAACTCTATCTCTCTCCCAAGGAAACTATTCCCTTCGCATCCCGGTTGTGTTCGCGTCTCCAGGGCTAGAGACTCCCAGACCCCGGGAAGCCTCGAAAACCCGGACCAGAGAATCCTGCGGCGCCCGGATCGGCTCGGGCGCCCAGACTGAGCACGCGCGGCAGGCACCCTGGCGGGGCGGAAGCCCAAAGGGGGCGGGGACAGCGAGGCCGGGGTGCGGGGGGCAGAGGAAGTGTGGTGGTTTCGCTTCCGGTTTTGCTAGGAATTCTCCGTTTCCCCAGCTGAGACTCTCCGTAGCTGAAAAAATGAACCGATTCTTCGGCAAAGCGAAGCCCAAGGCGCCGCCACCCAGCCTGACCGACTGCATCGGCACGGTGAGCTGGCGCCGTCCCTGACCGAGTGGGACTCCGAACCCCCGCTGCTTTTTCCCACCTGCCGGGGACCCCGGCCCGGCCCCCTTCCCCTGGGATGCCGGGGGCGAATGTGCCCGAGAACCCGAGGGGTCGGGCAGCGGGGAGGGGGAGAGGCGAGAGGGGCAGGGTTGCCCCTCTTTCGCCAGCCCCATCCGGGGACCCCGGAAGCGAATCTGCCCAAGCAGAGAGGGCGGGGGCGCGACAGAGAGGAGGGAAGGGGCGGGGGGGTTTTACCCCCGGGCACGGGCTTGATGGTGGGGACCAGAGAGGGGGAGGGGCGGGGGATGGAGAGAAAGAAAAGAACCTGGGGAGTTGGTGGAGATGCCATCCCACACCCCCTCCTCCAGGGCCACTTCTTCCCTTTCTTACGGGAGAGGGTCGAGGGGGAGGGCTCCAAGATGTCCCCCAGCCCCTGAGGGATCAGGGACCCGGCTTCATTCCGTCCAGAATCTAGAGCCATCCGTGTAGAATCTGGTGACAGTGACAGCTGACAGGAATACACGTCTAGGTGTGTGGAGCTTAAAGGCTTGCCAGATGATTCACGCATGTTTTCTCATTTGGTCCTCACCAGGACCCTGGGAGGTAGGTGTTATTATCCTCTTGTTGCAGTTGAGGACAACTGAGGTAGACAAGAGGTTGAGTGACTTGCCCCAAGGGTAACAATAAATTATCTGGTGGTAGTAGACCCAGGTTTTCTTGACATCAAGGCCAGCCCGCTGCCTGTGGTCATCGTGATTCCATGCTGCTTCTATGTTGTAAGCTTTGTGAGGGCAAGAACTGTGTCTGTTTTCATAATTGGATATCAGGGTCTAAATCAGAGGTGGCAAGCATGAATGTGGCCCATAACACAATTAAAATGTAATTAGGAAATATTTAACAAAATAAAATACAATAAAATAGATGTTATAAATAAGATAACAACATAAATAAAATAAAACATAGATGATATGGAGGAAACCTGAGACAGATGGGAGGTTAAGTGACTTGCCCCAAGGGTTACATGGCAAAGAAAGTGTCTAAGGCCTTATTTGAACTGGTCTTGCCGACTCTAAGTTGGGAACTGGCTTTCTAGCTGTCAGATCTAGTTTAGAGCAAGTGTAGAGCAAGAATTCTTAACCTAGGGTCCTTGGATCCCCCTTCAATAAACATTTGTTAGTTAATAAACATTTATTAAACGCCTGCTATGTGCTAGGCACTGTGCTAAACGCTGGGGATACAAATACAGAAAAAAAGAAAAACAGTCCCTGTTCTCAAGGATATTACAGTATAATCATGGACCCAATATGGGGCATAGTGGAGAAATCTGAGAAATCCTAAGGTATAGCAGCCAGGTGAGAAATGAAAAGATGTCTGAGCTGAGCTATCACTTCAAATGGAAGTTTGGAGTATACAGCCCCATCCTCCAATCAGAGAGGCAGAAGGAGGTGATGAGATTGAATACAAAGGCTGGTGCTATTTCACATCTTAGATTTCACGGAATTACTGAAGGTGGATGGGGGGAAAAACACCTTTATTTTCACTTATTCTAACTGAAATTTAGCATTTCCTTCAATTATGATTCTTAAATTATTGTAAGAAAGAATCCATGGGCTTCACTAAACTTGTCAAAAATATACTTTTGTGTATGGGCAGCTAGATGGTGCAGTGGATAAAGCTCTGGCCTTGGAGTCAAGAGGACCAGAGTTCAAATATGGCCTCAGACACTTGACACTTAACTAGCTGTGTGACCTTGGGCAAGTCACTTAACCCCAGTTGCCTTAAAAAAAAAATATATATATATATATATACTTGTGTGTGCCATGACACACCAAAAACGGGTCAGAACCTTTGCATTTAATTCATCTGGATAGAATCTAGATGTCATCCCTTTTGATAAAGGAGGAAAATGATGCCCAGAGAGTGGATGTGGCTTATACTGAGTAGTAATGCCAGGATTTAAATCCAGGTGCTCTGACTTCAGATCCTGCTGGGAAACATGATGACAATTTGTTTTGTTGCTTTTGTTTAACCCACTGATTTTTTCAGTGTATGGAACTCTCCCAACCAATGCTGATCGGCAACTGTTCTACCATTTACAGCTTTAGAAAGTTGCCAGGTGTACTAAACAATCAAGTGACTTGCCCAGAGTCACAATAAATATCAGGTCAGACTTAGACACCGATCATCTTGACCCCAAGGCTAGTCCTTCACCCATGCTCATACTGTATCTCTGCAGCTACTATGTTGTAAGCTCTTTCAGGGTAAGAACTGTGTCTATTTTTCCCCCCCAAGGCAATTGGGTTCAAGTGATTTGCCCAGGGTCACACAGCTAGTAAGTGTCAAGTGTCTGGTCTGAGACCAGGTTTGAATTCAGGTCCTCCTGACTCCAGGGCCAGTGCTGTATCCACTGTGCCACCTAGCTGCCCCATATGTTTATTTTCATTATTGTATCTTGGGGCCTAATAAAGAGATATCAAATACACATGCAGCTAACACTCCTAATTAAAATATAATTAGGAAATATTTAAACAAAATAAAAAATACAGTAAAACATACATAATATTAATATGTGCTTTTCTAAGTCAATATGCAGCCCATTAGGTTTCTATTTGAGTTTGACACTACTGATCTTTTATAGTATTCTATATATACTTTTATAGATTTGTGATCCTATCAATTTGGGTGAATATTGCCTTCAGCAGATCTCAACCTATCCATATCTTATCATCCTGTAAGACTTTTGTCCAGATCTTTACATATTTCCTCCACTAGGGTAACTGAGTATTTATAAAGCCCTTCATAAATGATTGTTGTTGAAATGGGAAGAGTTAGTTAACATTGTACTCAGGAGAAAACATATCTTCACTTTCATCGTTGATAATAATTCCTCATAGTTATATATAGTATTGCACACATTTCTGTTTATCACAGGTTCATAGATTTAGCACTGTAAGGGATCTTGGAGGTCATCTAGTCTAAATCTGAAGTTTTGAGTAACAAAGTAACAAAAAAAAAATTGAACGCAGGACCCTTGACTCCAAGGGTCACTCTTTCTACTATATCTCACTACCTTAACAATAAACCTGTAAAGTATACAGGGAAGCGATTTTTATTCTTCTTACTTGCTTCCCACAAATTAGGAAATTGAGTCTTAGAAAGTTGAAGTGATTGAACTAAAGTTACCCAACCAGCGGTAACGTGGTCAGCCCTGGAACTCAGGTTTTTTGACTCTTGTTTATCATTTTTTACGATATAGTACGTTACTATTTATCATTCTGAGATGTGCAAATTGTACCACAAGGTGTTCATTGGGAACCTCCACTAAAGCCCTACTCTCTGATGCCTTTTTATAGTGTGGAGGTAACCTTGGGTTCTTGAAAATGACCAGCCAAATGTTATGTTTGGTCACTTCCTACCAAGTTGGAAAGGCTTTAGCTATGGGCCCAATACCAAAGTGAATGTCTGTTACGCCAGCATGAACCTAAGTTCGTGGCAGCCATGGGGTGATGAGATTTTTGAGCACTGCAGTTCAGGAAAACCAACTACTAAGCTTTAAAAGGTTTTCCTGAACTGAACTGAACTGCAGGCTAAACATGAGTAGAACGATAAGGGACCTTAGGCTTCACTGAGAGGCCTCCTATGGAGATCAGGGAAGTAATAGCCCCAGTGTATTCTGTTCTGGTTGGACCACATCCTTAGGAACATTACGAATGCCTCATTTCAGGAGAGGCATTGATAACCTGGAGGGTGCCTGGAGTAGGCTGAGCAGGATGTAAAGAGCCATGAGATCCTTCCACGGAAAGGCGGCCTGAGGAAGAGAAGCCCCAGAGGAGTGTGATAACTGTCTACAGGCATTTAAAGGGCTCTCAGGGAGGGGGGAGGGTGTTCAGTTTGTTGTGCTTGCCCCCGGGCTAGACTCGGAAGCCCAGCCATGGGACAGAGAGACAGATCTACTCTAGATAGCAGGGAAATTTTCCTCACTCTTAATGCTATCCAAAAGCAGAATGGGCTGCCCTGGATGGTTCCTCTCGATGGTCATCTTCCAGCAAAGACAAGAGGATCATCATTGGGGATGTTACTGGAGGGATTCTTTTCCAGGTGTGCGTTGTAGGAGGTGACCTCTGATGTCCCTTCTAATACTGAGATTCTCTGTTTCACTCTATGTCAGTGGATGAAAGAGCCATGTCAGATAAAGTCATGAATCTTTGAACTATTTATTGAGAACACTTCATTTGTATGACTTCTCCATAAAAATTAATTAAACTGGATGACCTTTTTGCAGTCCTTGAATGTCCTGATTCTAGGGTAGGGGTATAGCATCAGGGCAGTAAAGTAGCAACTTCATAATTTAAACAGATTATCTGTGGTTCCATAGATATAGGGGCCAGGGCATTGGACTGGGAAGCAAAAAGCCTGGGTATTAGTAGCAGCTCTGCTACTTACTAGTCACTGTGGCCTCAGACAAGCCACTTACCTTACAAAATAGGAATAATAAGACTGGTCTTGCCTATCTCAGAATTGTGAGGATTAAATGAGATAATGTATGTGAAAGCCCAGGGACTATACCAGTGTAAGGTGGTATTATTATCTACCACTCCCTTCAAAATGTGTATGTTTTCTCTTTCTTTTCCTCTCTTTTCATTCTTCCATCTTCTCTCCTGCCCATGTGTGCCTGCATTACATAGTTATGTATTAAATTGAAATAACTATTCTTTCTTTTCCTTCTAAAGGTTGATAGCCGGGCAGAATCAATTGACAAGAAAATTTCTAGACTTGATTCAGAGCTGGTAAAGTATAAAGATCAGATAAAAAAGATGAGAGAAGGACCTGCAAAGGTAAGATGGAACGGGCTTCGGAAGTTACTGTATTATAGAAATTTTTAAATGCTTAAGTGACTTAAATATCTTGGGAGGGGGAGCAGAACATCATAATAGGTGCTATTGAGAATTACAGTAGAAACACTGTAAGGAGGATGCAAATGAGATAAATTCAACAAACATTTATTAAATGCCTATTATGTGCAAGCAATTTTAGAGGAATTCAAAGATGAATAAGATATGGTATTTTCTGTGAAGGAGCTTGCAACCTAATAGTGCAGAAATTAGCCAAATACAAATAAATATAATGTGGAGTAAAGTTCAGAGATAAGTGAGCAGTACAAAGGAGATGTTCCTCAAGCTTCTTTCCTAGGCTCTCTTCTTCCTCTCCACACTCAAGGTCACCTCATTAGCTCCCATGGATTTAACTATCATCTCTCTGTAGCTCTCCCTTTCAGCCTTCCCATCTCAAAGTTCCAACCCAGACACCACATACCCCTTCCACTTTGCTCTCTGGAATGCCTGTTCCATAGGCAACATCCTAAACCTTTTTTTTCCCCCACTCCTTCTATCTTCTAGCTATTATTGAAACCTGGCACCCTCCTGATGACACAGACTCCCGTGGTCACCCTTTCCAGTACTGACTGCACCTTCACCTCTTGGCTCACTTGTCAAGGCAGAGGAGTGAGAATACTCTTTACTTTCAGGTTCTTATCACTGCCACTTTCTCTCCTTACCACCATTGCTCAGTAACCTCTCTTCTTTTGAGGAGGGGGAGGAGGAGATATGCTATTTATATCTACAACCCAATCAAAATTCTGGTAGTTATTGTCTGCAGACTTCCAGGTCACTCCTTTTCTTTTTCTCTTCTCCCCAACTCCCTCTGTCATACTCGGAGACTTCAACATACACATTGACTCTCCCTCAAAGACCCTAACCACTCAGTTCCTCAACCTGCTCACTTCCCATGAGCTATTCCTTCCCCCCCACCCTAGCCATACACAAAGATAGTCATATCCTTGATATTGCTATCACCCACAAATGTATCACCTCCATTTTCTGGAATTCTGAAATCCCCTTATCTGACCACAGTCTACTGGCTCTTTCACCTCTTCCTAATAAACCTTACTTTTCATCCACATTGTGATCTCCAATCCCTTGACCCCTCAGTTCTCTCCCTGGCCATCTTCCCTACAATCAATCTCCACCTGCTGGCTTCATTGACTAACTTTAAGTTCCAACTAAAATCCCATTTTCTACAGGAAGCCTTTTCCAACCCTTTTTTAATTCTAGTGCTTTTCCCTCTCTTAATTATTTCCTATGTATCCTGAATATGATTTATTTGTATATATTTGTTTGCTTGTTGTCTTCCCCCATCAGACTGTGAACTCCTTGAGGGCAGGGACTATCTTTTGTCTCTTTTTGTATCCCCAGCGCTCAACACAATGTCTGGTCTGGCACATAGTAGGCAATTTATTGACTGACATCTTAAACTCAAAATATCCAAAACGGAATTCTTTACCTTCGCTCCTAAACCCTCTCCTCTACCAAACTTCTCTTTTTTTGTTGAAGACACCACCATCCTTCTGGTATCCCACCTTTATAACCTCCATGTTATCCTTGACAGCTTACTCTTCCTCATCCTGCATATCAATAGTCAATAAACATTTATTAAGCACCTACTATATGTCAGGCACTATGCTAAGCACTGGGGATACAAATACTAAAAAAGAAAGATAGTCCCTGCCCTCAAGGAACTTTAACCATTTAATTGGGAAAGACAACACACAAAAGGAAGCTGAAAGGTAGCCAGCTTGGGACATGGTAAAGTCCCAGAATAGTACAACCAAGTGAGAAATGAAATGTCTGAGCTGACCTTTCTCCTTAAATGGAGGTTTGAAGTTCCTGGCCCCACCTTCCAGTCAGAGAGGCAGAGGGTAATGATAAGGTAGAGTACCAAGGCTGGTGAGGTCTTGCAGAATGAAAAGGTTATCCCAGTAATGAGCCTCCTGGGGCATGATGTAGAAGTCAGTCAGAGAAGTCTTAAAGGAGTAAAGCTAGGTAAGAAATGAGGAGAAATAAATATCTCATTAGTTGTCACATCTTGCCATTTCTACCTTTACAGCATTTCTCAAATCTGACCAGTTTTCTCCAGTTGTACAGCTACATAGTTCACCTTAGTTCAAGTCCTCTGCATCCTCCCAATGGGTTTCCTTCCTCAAGTCTCCAGTCTGTCTTCCCCAAGCTCTCAAAGTGATTTTCCTTAAATACAGCTCTGACCATGTGACTCTCTTATTCAGTTAAATCCTTTGACTTCCTGTTACCTCTGGGATAAAATACAATCTCTGATTCAGCTTCTATCAGACCCCAAACCTATCTTTCCAGCCTCATTGGACACTATTCCAAATCCTACACCCTTTGACCCAGCCAAAAAACAGTGTTTCTCATATGTAGCAAGTCAGTTCCCAGTATCTTTCATCACACAGGCCCAGGATCCCCTCCTTACACTGCCTCACAGACCCTTTCTTCCTTTAGAACATAGCTCAAGCACCATCTTCTGCAAGAAGTCTTTCCTTGCTCCCTCAGTCACTAGAATGCTGCTTCCCAAAGTACCTTTCTTTTAAAAAAAAACCAAAAAACTACTTTGTATATGTATTTGTGTTTATTAGCTATATTTTTATAAATATATTAATAAATTTGTTAATTTATTTTTATATATACTCACATATATACTTATATGTGCTTCATATGTTGTCTTCATAAATACTTTATATATAAAGATATGTACGTATAATTTATATGTTGTCTCCTCCATTAAAGTGTAAGCACCTTTCCAGTAGGAGTTGTTTCCTTCTTTGTCCTTATATCCCCAGTGTCTGGCACTGTACTTGGTACATAATAGGTAGGCTCTTAACAAATACTTACTGATTGATTGACCAGGGAAAAGCCCAAAAGAAAGGGGTGGTGCTGATGAGAGAAGGGACAGACAGGACAGGGTAGGGCAGGACTCAAAAGGCAGAGGGTGGGAACGATGATCTCTGACCCAGAGGTTTGACTGGAGTAAAGATGAGAACTGGGACTCTGCCCCAGTAGTGAGAGCCTTGGGCTTGCCCTCTACTAGCTTATTACCTTTCTTAAGACCTTGTAGGGTAGGTGAATTTTCACTTCCATGAACTAGTGATTTCAGGAGGTTAACAACAATCTAATGAATTGTTAGAACAGTGTGTAGGGAGGGTATGGTTTAATGGGGGCAACTTGGAATTTTGATTGGGAAGATCCAGGTACTACATTGTATACACTGGGGATGCAAAGAACGAAATAATCTCTGTTTACAATGAGCTTATATTATTTGGGAGACAATAAGTACATGTATAGGGAATATACATATATAGGGAATAAACCCAAAGATGAATTTGGTTTTGGGTCATGGATAAATAGAGATGAACACCAGTGATAGATCTGGGCTGGATTCATAGCTTTCAGCCTATGCTGCTTGAAGAATGATAGCTGAAGCCATGAATAGCCTAACTCCCCAAGAATTAAGAGTGAAGAGAGGATGGTGGAGGCTATTAGGACATAGTCTTGGTGCATCCCCAGATTTACTGTGGAGGAAGAGCTAGTGTCACCACAGTTCTGCTAGCTTTTGTAAAATTCAGTTGGGTCAGTTTTCAGCTTCTTTAAATTCAAGTGTAATTTTCTTTTTGCTTTCAGAATATGGTAAAACAGAAAGCCTTGAGAGTATTAAAGCAGAAGCGAATGTAAGTTATTGCCATAATTTCCCCAAATCAAACTTGTTTCATATAAAGAAAAATACTTTTCTTTTTTTTACGTTTTAGCTAACATTTATGAGCGTTCTCAGTTTACTGAGTATTTACATATACAATTATGTGAGGTGAGTCACTTTATTACCTTACTCGTTTTCCTCGTAAAATGAAGGGTTTGGACTAAATGATCTTCTGAGGTCACTTCTAACTCTAAACTTTGTTTCTATGACCTGTTTTTTTTTTCCCTGCAAGTACTGTAAAGTACAGAAAATTTAGTATCTCCGTAGTGTGTGCCATTGGCTACATTGTACAAATCTTTGTGAGGTTTTCACCATCCCAACTGCATATTATAGATACGAAATTCCCATTCCTTCCTTATTTTCAATGACGTCAGCATTTTAGTATATAGTTAACTTTTAATTATCTAGTTTGAATAGATAATGCAGTTTGTAAAAAAAATTCTTGGGGCAGCTAGGTGGCGCAGTGGATAGAGCACTGGTCCTGGAGTCAGGAGGACCTGAGTTCAAATCTGGCCTCAGACACTTGACACTTACTAGCTGTGTGACCTTGGGCAAGTCACTTAACCCCATTGCCTAAAAAAAAAATTCTCTTCATGTTATCAGACATCTTTTGTGCATTCACCTGCTTTTTTGTATTAGTATCAAAGAATGGAAAAGAGAAGTAAAATGCAAAAGTGGTATTGCTCCTTGTTAGCCAATTTTATGTAAAAGTTTCCAGGGTGGAATTGATAGAAATAATTAAAATAAAGATTGGGGATTATAATGTACCTCCTTTTCCCATGCTGTCCTTGTCTACCTTTAGCATAAGCAGTAAAAATAAAAATACAAGAAATTTGTTTAGATGATTGAATTTAAGTGTTTAATAGTTTGAAGTTGAAGTTCAGTGTTTTGTTTAAACTTCTATGCCGGTTGCATTCCAAAAATTCATATGTAAGTTGGTTGATTGAAATTCTGGACACATTTCTAATAGAAACAGTGCCAAAAAGAGATATCACTGGGTTCCAGGATAACCCATATGTACCTATTTAATCTGTGGCGTGGTTGAACTTCGCTGTGAAATCTGTCTATTTCTGTGAGAAAAATGTAGTCTAAGTTTCAGTTGGAAAGAGCATGAACTTATGGCAGCATAGCATAGAACAGCAGTTGTCAGAATGTAGTCTGAACACCTGTAGGACTCTCTGGAGTTCCTTTCGGGGATTTTGTGAGGACAAGACTTTTCGTAGTAACATGAGACCATAATAATAAAGACATTTTAATTTCTAATGCAGTAGATATTGATAGATATAACTTCTATACACAAAAGCTCATTGAGGTCCTCAATAATTTTTTAAAAGTGTAATGGGATCCTGAGACCAAAAAGTTTGAGAATTGCTGGCATAGAGAATAGAAGATTTAGTTCAGATCACCTCTCTGCCGCTAGTTATGTGGTCATGGGCAAGCAATTCACTTAACCCCTTTGAGACTCAGTACCCTCATCTTTTAATTGGGGATAATAATAACTGGTAATAATGAACTACCTCACAGTATGTGAGGCTCAAATGGGATAATTTTTTTGTATTTTAAGTATTATGTAATTTGAAAGCACTGTGTAAACTGTATAAATGTCTATCATTGTTATTATTATTATTATTTGTTATCCCTTTAGGCCCTTCCTCTCCCTACCCCCCAAAAGAAATTTCCCCCTTATATTATACCACAATAGGAACTCTTTTTCTTCTTCCCCTCACCCCCATGCCTCAACTGCTGCAGGGATTCTGGTGAGGGTGGGAAGGGGCATAAATTGTAGAAGATTCCCAGAGGGGCAGTGAGGTGCCAAAGTGAATGGAGCACAAGAAGACCTGAGTTCTTAAATCCAACATCACATACCTACTAGCTATGTGACCCTTAATCACTTAACCTCTCTTTGCCTCAGTTTCCTCATCTGTAAAATGGGGATTATAATAACATATACCTCCCAAGGTGGTTGTAAGAATCAAATGAGATAATAATTGTAAAGGGCCTGACATATAGTGAGCACTATATAAATGTTAGCTGTTATCATTGCTATTAATAGAGTGAGGATTGATGGATATAGGTAGGGAATTTAGCAGTTGGACGTGGGTTTCAAATACTTTCTAGGGAGGGCAGGTGCTCCATGAATGAAAGGAGTAGAGAATAAGAAAAATCCTAAAAGCAGTCACTCCCCTTGGGTATGGGAGAGGTGGTGTGAGGACTTAAGTAAGACAGGTGGGCCAGCAGCGGTCTTTGAAGGGCATCACTTTCCTCAGGCAACAACAGTTCCCGAAACAGAAGCAAAGTTTCCTTACGATCCGGAGCAGAGCAGAGAGAAGAAAGATTGACCTCTGTGATGCAGGTTGCGGTTGTGCAGACTATGGATTTGATGAATTGTGATCATCTGATGTGTCTGACAGACAGGATCCTCTGGCAGTTATGGGAATTAGGCAAAGCAGGCTGTGCTGAATCTTGGTGAATAACCAGACAACCTGGTGACTTCTCTTTCCAGCTTTGATGACACCTCCTTTTAGCAGCTCTCGTGATATTTTTTTCCTGAGTTCCACAATATTGACTTATGTTTAACATTCTCTGTTGAATGTGAATAGGTATGAACAACAACGAGACAATCTTTCACAACAGTCTTTTAATATGGAACAAGCAAATTATACTATCCAGTCATTGAAAGACACCAAAACAACGGTAATAAATAAAATCATATTTTGTAAATTTTAAGATCTATCAGAACCATCACATACTTAAAATTTTTTACCTTTCTAGGTGGATGCTATGAAATTAGGTGTAAAAGAAATGAAGAAAGCATACAAGCAAGTCAAAATTGACCAAATTGAGGTGAGATTGTGCTGTTTTCTGTCAAAATAGCTCAAACTGGTGTTAGATCTTTATATTTTTAATAAATCACTGAAGTGGGATTTTCTTTCAGAAGGGATGGGGGGATTATATTAACTCAAGTTGCTCCCAGCATTTTTCATTTAATTTAGTTTTCAACTCATTGTCTAAGGAAGCAGCCATCTGTAAAAGAACAGTGTGGGGCAGCTAGGTGGTGCAGTGAATAGAGCACCAGCCCTAGAGTCAGGAGGACTTGAGTTCAAATCTGGTCTCAGACCAGACACTTGACACTTACTAGCTGTGTGATCCTGGGCAAGTCACTTAACCCCAATTGCCTCAACAAAAAAAAAAAAAAAAAGAACAGTATGCTCCTTAACTGGAAGGGGTTGAGACTTCCTTTCTGGGACTGTAGAAATTTGTCAGTGTTTTTATTCTTTATTTATCTTTAACAGGAAGATTTTTAAAGGCAGAAAGAGTAATCTCACCCTAGACTCTGGTGCTGTATCTACAGATGGACAGCCTTGCTGTATCTTTCAGTAAAGGAAAAAGAGAATTCACTTTTTATTTTTTCTAAGTCTTACAGAAAGACTTACTTTTTTCAAAAATATCTCTTCAACTGTTACCCCCAAAACCCTCTACCATCTCCACAACACCTCTTTATATAGTTTTGTATCTTATGCATAAACATAGTTTCTGCAACACAGGTTAAAACAAGGGAAGGGTTTGTTGAAGAAATAGCCTTTGCTATACAAATACTTAAAACGGTAAAATTGAGTAGATAAAAATAAAGTAGAATGTTATATTTTCCATCTAAGTGTGTTAGATGTAACTGTGTGTTTTAAAGAAAGTGAAGCCTTTGGTCTCTCTGGTGTATTTATCTATCATCCCATGCTTTGTGTGCTGTGCCCTCTTCACCTGTTCTGTGCTCTTTCTGCCTCTCTTCTGCCTGCTAGATCACAAATGTCTGTTGTCTGTTTTCCTCCCACCAGCTTACAGATTTGTCTGCCCCTTGTATCTGCCTGCCTTGCTCCCTTTTTCCTGTATCTTCTTTCTGCTTCCCTGCTATCTTCTGCTCATCTTTTTGTTTGCCTCTATCTAAATATTTCTATGGACATGTTAATTGTGTTTCACCTGGTTTTTCTATCTTCTCTCTGTCATTCTTTCTCTCTGTTTGAATCCTACTCTCTTTGTTCTACTTTTGTGTGTATTGTTTTGAATCCCATTGTTAATTTTTGTTACTTTTCCTAAACTTCTTCATTTTTCTTAAATTTCTTTTGGTCTTCTGTTTCCTTTTCTTTTTTCTATACGTGTATAACTCATTTCTTCTCAAACCTCTAACTTTTAGTTCACATTTCTTTAGTGTATTTGTTTTTCTGTCTTGGCTTACTTATTTCCCCCCCCCTTTTTTATGTTCATTTAGGTCTTTGCCAATTCATTGTGGTTGGGGGGGGCGCTATTTTCCATATCTTCCTGTAGGTTCTTTCACGATAGAGCCTGTTGTAGTTGTTAGTACCTTTCCCAAGTGTTTGAAAGATCTCTCTAGCTTTCTTTGTATTACTTTCTTTATACAATCCTTCTCTTGTTCTTATCTTTGCCTACTTTGTTTCTCTTTGTTATTAACTGCTTCTTTTATTTCTTTCTCTTTCTATCTCTTTTACTTTGGTGTTAGCTAATTTTTTTAGTGGATTTATACTATCTTACCTCTTGAGATTGGTACTTAGAAATGCAGAAGTGTGGCTCTAGCATTTTCTCTCTTTTAACTTGGTGTATATTATTTTCTACCTTTTTTTTTTTTTTAAATTTAAAACCATCACACACATTTTGGACTAGAAGTTTTGAAATGCTTTGTATCACATCTCCAAAGGGATAAAATGGCATCAGTTTCATACTTTAGTGTTAACAAGCACCAGTGGTTGTGGGAATATATCATAAGAACTGGATAAATTAAAACAAGAAATGAGCAAAGGGTCTGTGGGTACTCTGAAATAGCCTGAAGGTTGTGTGCCACTCTTTTAGGCATGGCTTATCTTTACTACTAAAAACCTTCAGCAATTCTTGGTCTCTTGGGCAGGTTAAGAATAGACCTGAATGCAGCAGTTCTTACATGTGTGGTATTCTTTGCATACATCTAAGTTCAAGGCCAGATATAGGAAGGCTGTATTGTATAGTCTTAAAGGGAATTTCAGTTTTGTTCATTTCTGGCCTTGAATATTAGAATGCCATCAGCTCTGATATAGACGTGCAGACTACCAAATTAGGGACGATTTATTTCCTCTCATCCCTCATCACTGTACCTTTACATATATATATGTATATATGTATATATATACATATTATATATATAATTGATTTATTTATTTTTAGTTTTCAGCATTCACTTCCATATGATTTTGAGTTTTAAATTTTCTCCTCCTTCTTTTCCTTCCCCTCCCCAGGACAGTGTGCAATCTGATAGAGGCTTTACTTATACATTCAAAATATAGTTATTCTTAACCTGGGGACTGTGATAACTTTCAAGGGATCTGCGAATTTGTTCTTTTTATTATTTTGATAACTTTAGGTTTCCTTTGTAATCTTAGGTATTTTATTTTATGCCTTTAAAACATTATTTGGAAATGGGGTCCATAGCACAGAAAAGATTAATAAGTCTGACCTAATAGGAGCCTCACTTTCTGTCTTTTATCAGTGCCATCCAGGAGAGCTTCACACTTCTCCTTTGCCTGTGTAACAGGACTAATTTCCTAATGCCTCCAGTGGCCATGGGTTGCTTTTTTGGTGATTATTCAGCCCCTGCTTTTATCCATTTACTTAGATAATCAAGGTTTGCCAGTAGAGATGTTTACTTAATTTATATGTTTATCTAAGTCTCCTCTTATGTAAAGCTTGAGAGAGACTCTTAAGTTTAAAAGAAAAAATTAGCATATTTACCCACACAGTTTCTCCCATTTTAAGTAGTTCTTTGTTACTCAAAACAGGCAGGAATTATGTGAATAAAGCTCTCTGTTGCTGTTGTTTATGACATTTCCTGAACTGTTTAACCCATCTTGTAGTGTTCTCTTCCTTTTATTTTCTACCAAGAGTTTTTCTGGGCTTTGCCTCTCTCCTAATTTTCCTATTAAATTTCCTCTTCTTTGACCATTTAACTTCTCCAAACAATGTTTTAGAGTAGCTAGCTCCTCCTGCTGCTAACAACCAAAGAACCCACTGGCAGAAGAAAAACTTGATCATTTCCTCAAAATTGAAGGAGGAGGGTACAGAAAAAAAAAAGTAATATGTGACTCAGTGCTTTTTTAAAAATTCATTTAGGATATACAAGACCAATTAGAAGATATGATGGAAGATGCAAATGAAATCCAAGAGGCGCTGAGCCGAAGTTATGGAACCCCAGAAATTGATGAAGATGACTTAGAGGCAGGTGAGTAACAGAGATCCAATTGTTTATGGTCCTTTCCATTCAATGCTTGGGGCTGCCAGTTTTCCATAAGAAAAGGCAAAATTATGAGATAATTTAAGGGAAAGAGAATATGAAACAGAAGTGTCAGGAATTTTAGTTATCTTTTCCATTTAGCAGCTCTCATTAACTGAAACTCACAAGGAAGAATTAAGGAGGCAGGTGTCGCTGAGAACCCTCAAGGTGGTGTTCATACATTTTCCATTATTAGTCCTTTCTTGTCTTTTCTGGAAGGAAAGACTTTCTTTTTCCTGTCTCTTTGTTTCTTTAATTCCCTTTTCTTTAGAATCAATAAAGCAGAAAGAAAAAAAAGAAATACTATGGAAAATGGCCAAGATGACCAGCCTCAGTCAGAGGGATCCCTATATTGGACAGGGGAGTAAGACATTTGACATTCTAGCCCCCTCAAACTCCATTATTTTATCGAATGTTTTTCCTTTTTCTTTGGATTCCTTTACCATTCTACTCCACACTTCATTCTTTCTCTTAACCTATTCTCTTTTGTATTGTTTTGTCCACAACAAATGTTTTTTCTTCATAAAAGTGGTTTTTTTTTTCAAACTGTTCATTTAACTGTTCTACCAACTTCAAGAAGCTTATGACATACTTTAGAACTCCAGTTTTTAATCTTTTTTGTGCACTGGGCCCTTCGGCAGCTTGGTGAAGCCTATGAACTCCTCAGAATAGTGTTTTTAAATTCATAAAATAAGAAAACCAATTATATTGAAATGTCAAAATAATTTTTAGTTGAAATAATTTTTTAAAAAAGATAATGAACTTCAGGTTAAGAAGCCTTGCTGTAGAGAAATCGGTTATCACCCCTTTAAGTTCCAGGCCCCTCAGAAAGTCCTTACTGGTTTTCTAAGGATTAATAAGACTATTTGCAGCAGTATTTTGTCAGGTTTGGACATTGTTTTTTGTTTCTAACCACTTTCCTTTGTGCATCTATTGTCCTGTTTTCATTATGGGTTTGATCCTTGAAAATACTTGACTTACATTGAAAGCTGTTTAAAGCTGCTGCAGTATGGGCTAAAAGTTGCTCTTTAAGCACTACAACTTTTGCATGTTTCTTTAGCGTGGTATCCATTCTTAAAATACAACAAAAGAGAATAATGAAACACGTGTGTGGTACAAAATCCAGCACTTGTCTGATTGAGAGCTAATTAAAACTAGGGTGGGGATACCAGCTTAATCCAGTTTCCTTTTGGGACAGATATTATGATCCAGCCTAGTGGCAGTAAAAGCACACATGCATGATCTTTACCATCATAAAATGAAACTATATCAAAATTATTGCTTATCCCAAGTAATTCACACAGTACAATAAGTAGCAGAGCTAACTTTTAAACTAAGGTCCTGATTTCAGATCCACAAGGCACTTACTGTAAGAGATTACCAACTAGTAGAGAAAATAAGAAATATACACATGAAAAGGTAACCACAAGTGTAAAGATACCATCTAAAGTCATTTAATTAACAATGATGTTAATTGAAATAATACTATAGTGATTATTACTTGGTTCCATAGGAAACAAGTTATAAACATAAAATGTTTCCTTCGGCCAAAATACAAAATATAAAAACTTAAATTAGATCTTTACAAGGAACTGATTTTATACAGATATGTCTCATTCCTCCCAACAGCTTTTCCCTTCATTAGATTGGCAGATGAGGGTATCCTTAAGACCAGTCATGTCAAACTCAAATAGAAATGGAGGCCATTAGACCATACATAATAATCCTCATGGGCTGCAAATTAACAATTTTAAAATATAAAGTTGTCTATGTTTTGTTGTATTTTTATTTTGTTAAATATTTCCCAATTACATTTTAATCTGGTGCAGACCACGTGTCTGACACTTTTGCTCAAGACTGTACCACTCCTTCGATAATCCTTTGTATCACCGTCAGAAAAGTGAACACCATCCAATATGGATGGTTTTATCTGGTTTTCAGATTTTCTTTCCTCAGGGAACAGAAAGGATTTATGTGTCTAATTGTCAATTGTGTTATAACTGCATCAGGATGGGGCTTAGCCATAATGTATGTAACATTGTGACTGTGGGCAGGCCATTTAATCTTCATGGCCTCAGTTTCTTCATCTGTAAAATGATGGGGTAGATAAACTCTGAGGTCCAGCCAGCTGTAAAACTGTTCTTATGATCCAACATTGATTATAATTTCATAGACTTAGAGCTGCAAGGGACCTCAGTTTGACTAAGACAGTGGTTCTCAAACTTTTTGGTCTCAGGACTCCCTTTACATTCTTAGAAATTATTGAGGAACTTCTTTTCCCTCCAAGAGCTGTTGTTTATGTGGGTTATGTCCATTGATATTTACTGTATTAGAAATTAAGACATTTTAGTGTTACTATGAAAATAGTTTTGACCTTACAGACCCTTTGAAAGGGTCTCTGGGACCTGTAGGAGTCCCCAGACCACACTCTGAGAACTTCTGGTCTAAGCTAACCTCATTTCATAAGAGGAGAAAGCTAAGACCATAGTGGGCAAGTGAATTGTCCAAGATCACAGATAGTGAGTTGCAGAAGCTAGACTTGAACCCATGTCCTCTGACTCTACCAAGTCCTCTTTTCCACAGCAACATGCTGCTGGCCTCTCCCATGCTGCTTTTTTTTCTTTTTTAAATTTTTCCTACTAAGACAAGTTCAACAAATGAATTAATATATATGAACCAAAGGAATTTCTTATGCCATTTCACACTTACCAAAATGCCATTAACTTTCTTGGCATTTTGGTTGTCTAATTTCTCAAATATATTTTTCCTAGAAAATTTACTAGTTAATACAGAGTTCACTGGTTTTCTTTCAGAATTGGATGCACTTGGTGATGAGCTCTTAGCTGATGAAGACAGCTCTTACTTAGATGAAGCAGCATCTGCACCAGCAATTCCTGAAGGTGTTCCCAGTGATGCTAAAAACAAGGTAGGAAGGTTGTTTTTTGATAGGAAAATAAGGTTTTATTCTTGACACCCAGCCATGAGAATTTAAAAGGCACTTATGAAGTATCTAGGTGAGAAGAAGTGTTAATGGTCTTTATTCCTCTAAGCTCAGTTTTAATTTAATCCAGTTTTTCTGCAGTGAAATATAAATGTAGTCCAGCAGATGATGCATATAAATATAAAAGTACTGCTAGTCAGTAAATGTTGCAGTCCATGTTATCATGATCATTATATGAGATTTATAAGTTAACATAAAATAGATGTCAATTTTGACATCTATTTTTATATTTTCTCCAACTATTGATATAATTTGTTTTAAACATGATTTACTTTGCTAATTATTTCCCCAATATTGAGTTGTCTTTGATAACTGCAAATCCTTTATATAGGAACATAGACTACATACAGGCAATAAGTAGGAGAACTAGATTTGAACACAGGTCCTTCCACTATTCATTATGCTGCCTCTCATTTTGTATCAGCCATTTACACTTACTGAATAGTGAAGAGATTGCACTTAAGTATATATGAATTCCCCATTAATATGCTATTTGTGTGTGAAGCCTTTAATTTCTTACTATATATTAAAAGATTTTGTTCTTTATTGAAGGATTTCAAGATATCAGTCAGGTGGTGAGAATTAAAGAGAGGCTAGAGGGGCTAAAAGGGACCTAATATACTATGAGTTAATTGTTTTTTTTTCCCCGAGAGAGAGTCAAGAGGCATAGGAATAGTTATCGGTCTTTGAAAACAGCTCCTTCCTCCTTTTTATATAGGATAAACAGGGAGGACCAGCCCAACTCTGACTCCTAAAAGCGTGACTCTTAATGAGGGAGAGGAAGGTGTACCCTGGCTTTTTCCAGGACCTAAAGCTTTCTGTGTTCTGGCACACAAGTATAACATGTCCCTCTTCCTCCTGACCTTTCCCCTCTTCCAACATTGTGTACAAGTTGAGTTACTAGAATCTATACTCATCATTAATAGAAGTATTACAATATGTCATTGTCTACTATAGTGTGTTACTGAAGGTAGCTTCAATTTAGATGAGTTAAGTCAGAGTGATTCAAGAGACCAAGAAAGGAATATGCTTCACGAGGAAGTGAAGTGGTATATGTGTGTGTGTGTATATATACATACATAAAATATACATGTGCACATACACATACATATAGACAAATTTAAATAAGAAAATTACATTAGAAGAAAAAGACTTTATCTCTCCCCAGTTTTTTCTGTCTTTTAAACTATTATACCCTCTTTTTTCAACTATATTTCTCTTTTGTTTTCCTGCTTCCTTCTTTTTCCTCTTTTCCCTGTTCTCTGTTCTAGCCTTCTCTGTCTTCTTCTCTTTTCCTCCTGTGAATTTCTTGGTTCCTTCATTTTTCCATTTCTCTTCTCATTTCTTCAAAAGCTTTCTCTTTTGTTTCTCTGTTTACTCATAATTGGGGATTGTTTGTTTTGTGTGATGGACTTTGGGAATAAGTTTTTTGCTAATGATTGGTTATAAATTTTTTATATGTGTGATATTAAGAAATCTTTTTCACCCTGCAGGATGGTGTACTGGTGGATGAATTTGGACTGCCACAGATTCCAGCTACATAGAGCTATGTCTTTAACACTATGTTATGTATAATAAACACACATTATGAAAAACTGGGAAATATTTTGCCTTTCCAATGTCACCATAATCAATTTGCATATCCTTGTTCCTTTTCCTGAAAAAAAAGTTTAGTACACTAATTTTTTTCATTTAGAGAACTGATTCATTTAATAGGAACTTTCTTTAGATAAGATTTTAAAATTCCTTCCATCTTACAAAAGAAAAACTTGTAAAATATTGGTGGTTGTATAGGACTTCTGTTTTCATTTATTTATATTTTATTTCTGAAATTATTGAAACCAAGGATATGTGATTTCTTTAAATTCTTTAATTTCCTGATAGCTTGATAAAAAAGTGATGTATTTATAAGACCTACTTCCTTATCAAGATTATTAAACTATTTTGGACCATTCTTGTAATTCTAAAAATAGTTCAAATATATATACCATTGTGAAATCAGGCACTAATTTAAAATGTCTTTAATTGAGATGTAGGTTTTGTTGTGTCTTCATGTCAGTGAGTCATCACTATTTTCAGTATTTACATTGGCTTTCTTCCTATGCTTTTTGTCTTAAACCTGGATAAAGTTTTAATTCTAAGGTTTCCTCAGTATTATAGTTGAGTTGTAATCATTAATGAAATTACATCCTAACACTTAAATGTATTTATACTCAATAAATATTTTTCAAAAGGATATAATAACATTTCCTTCAACCTAAAGGCTCCACTAAAAACCAAAATTTGCCAATGACATTGTGTTGTGGACAGTGACGGTATGGTAGAAAATGCATTAGATTGAGTGGCAGAAGACTTGGACTCTAGGTCTGTGTTTGCCAACTGACCAGCTGGATGACTTTGGATTAGTCAGTTTATCTGGGCCTTAGTCATCTTGTCTATAACATAGTGGTAATCATAGCTCACTTGCCTGTCTTACAGTTGTTTCAAAGATTAAATGAATTAATATGGGATTGTAGGTTTTAGAACTGGAAGGAATCTTAAGAGATTTTCTAGTCTAACTCCATTATTTTACGGATGAGAAAATTGAGGCCTAGAACAGTGAAGTGAGTTGCCCAAGGTCTCACAGATAGTAAGTAGGAGAGCTGGGTTCAAACCTGAGTCCTCTAACCACAAATCTAGTGTTCTTTCCACTATACTGTGCCACTTCACATATGTGTTCAATAACATATGGACACTCTTTGTAAAGTACTATACAAACATAATGTTTTTACCACATACGTGCTCAATAAATATTTGTTGAATAAATATTGCTGGTGAGAATTGCATGTAATGTTTTATCACTGAGGTACTGGTTATGGTTTTTACTACAGGGACCTTACCTTATGGTCTGTATTATATTGCTGCATTGCTTTAATCTCATCTCTGTCGGCCCATCCCTGATGCTGAGTAACAGAACTCCTTTGCAACAAAAAGCAACATGTTAGCCTTCTAGGCCTATATTTTGGGAAAGTAACTCCAGCACAACATTTATAACTGTAACACATGTATCCTGGTTGCTTATTCTATTTTTCACTTTTTCCTGGGGTGATATTTTCTGGGCTTTCAGAGGTTAATAAGGGATGGTAAGAGTGACTTACTTCTTACTCCGCCATCTTGGCTTCTGGAAGTGGAATCCCTATTTTTCACTTTTTGAAGGTAGGCATTGTGTTCTGAAAGCCTTGAACCAGTAATGACTTTCAGACTACCCTACACATAAGCCGAGTCAAACTAAAATAGAAATTAGTTGACTCTTAATTGACTTAGAAAACCACAAATTAGCATTATCTATATTGTGTTGTATTTTTATTTGTTTTGTTATACATTTCCTAATTACATTTTAATCTGAATTGAATCTAGCAGCAAGTTTGGCACCTCTGCTTTCCATAACCCAGAGAAGCCATAGAATTAAATTCAAGATAGATATTAAGTATCTACTTACTATGTGCAGTTCACTGTCCTGGGTGATTGAAGGTGTATAAAGAAGAATGAAACTGGGGCAGCTAGGTGGCACAGTGGATAGAGTACCAGCCCTGAAGTCAGGAGGACCTGAGTTCAAATGTGGCCTCAGACCAAACACTTGACACTTACTAGCTGTGTGACCCTGGGCAAGTCACTTAACCCCAATTGCCTGAAAACAAAAACAAACAAACAAAAAAAAGAATAAAACTCCATATTCTTAGGTTATTTATATTAATAGAGGGAGCAGGCAAGTGTACAGATAATTATAATAAAAGGCCAAATATGATGTGCCATGAGGTGAGCTACAAATAAAATGCTATGGAGATTCAAAGGGAAAGATCCTATCCAGTTTGGGAGTGGGTCAAGAAAGACTTCATGAAGGAGATGGTACTTGGGTTGGGTCTTGAATACCACAAAGTAGCAGACACAGTAAGGAACAGCTCTATCAATAGAGAGGCCCAATAATTCATCAAAGAATATCAAGAGAAAGATCAGTAATAATACTAATAGTCCAAGCTTTCTCCTCAAGAGTGTACAGTTGTACATGAGTAATAAGGTAAACTAGCGAGCTCAGTGCAGAAAGCTAATTCCATCTCATTCCTGAAAGAAGGGAGTATATCAAACACTTCAAAGAAATTGTGGGCCTTTTTATCAAAAAAAGGCTACCAATAAAACATAAGTAATTACCAAATCCTGTGCCTACTTTGCCATCTTTGTAAAGTTTTTATGAATTTATATTCATATGAAAGTCATCTTTAAGGAAAATTTGAGAAGAAAATAAGCAGGCTTTTGCATATAACATTCTATAGTAGGCCATATCTTTATAGTCACAACTGACTAAAAGGTAGAGAGAATATAAAATCAGCTGCTTGTTAATGACTTTTTAAAAAGTGTTTGATTTGCAGAGCAAAGTACCACTTTAAAGGCTTTCCTCCAACAAAATGTCTCCCATTAATATGAAAAAAAAAAACCAAAACACAAAAGATTCCTTGAAACAACATTTTGACCTTCTAATATCAAATGACATTACACAGAGATGTATGTTCACCAAACATGTTTGTAAATGTCATAGAGGCTGTACAGCACAAAGTCCAAATGGAAAAGGATTCCCTGTATAAATGACAAGGTCTTCCAGATGCTCCTCTTCACAGGCATTGGTGTAGATAGAGTCAAGTCCTGGAAAATATCAGCACCTCCTAAATAAGATTTTCTTTTACCATTAACTACTCTGCTTGATTTCAACCTCACAGACATCATGCTTACACTCTGGGTAAGATTCTTACATCTGGGGGATGAACCTCTGTTTAACTGCCATATGATGTGAGTGTATTTTTTTGCCTGCTTACCGCACCACATAATAATAAAGCTCTTGGTGGAACCAGCTTCCTGAGCACCCATTTCCTGTAAATTCCTGGAACTAGGTCTTTGCTGTAACCCAAACTATGAGGCCAAATAAAGCACAAACCAATTTCTTTTTTCTTTTTTGACCGATAGAGCAGGGAGGCAGGTGCCATAAATATAGTGTACCTGGAACTCATCAAGGCATAATGACAAAGTCTTGTAATCTGGTAGTCAAGATGGAGAAATCAAAGCTAGATAATAGTATAGTTAGGTGGATTTAGGACTGTTTGAATGACCAAACCCAAAGGGTCGTTGAAATTAATCTGGAAAATACTTAATACATTGTCACAAGTGCTTTGTCACAGACCTTGTTCTATGCAGCATTTTTTATCGCTGACTTGAATAAAAGGATAGGTGTTATGATGATCAAATCTGTGGATGACACAGAGTAAAATAATTAACATATTGAATGGAATAACTGATATGTTGGACCAAAGAATTAGGGTCCAGAATAATCCTATAGGCTAAAAGCCTGGGCTGAGTCTAAAATGAAATTTTATAAATTTATATAAATTTATAATTTATATATTTATATATAAATATAAATCACTACATTTTGGTTAAAAATTAATTGCACAAATACAAGATAGGAGAGGTGTGACTAGATAACATCTTGCTCATGTAAAAGATCCAAGGGGTTTTAGTTGGACTCAATATGAATCAAAAATGTGACATGGAATGCAAAACTCATGTAATGCCCTGCAGGAAGTGTAGGCTCAAAAACAAGCAACCTATATGCATTTATATGTGCCAGGCACTATTCCAAGTGCTGGGGAATGTGCTCAGGTATTCATATAGATCTGTGATCTCATTGATTTGAGAATTCCCTCTAACAACACAGATCGTACCCCTCCATGCCTAGCATTCCTGCATGACTGTGTTCTCCGATAAATTTGCTACAGGGGGCACACCCAATGTGCCAGAGGCCTTCCTCCCTGCTGACACTGTGATAGTACCAGTGGAGTACTCTGGCTGTCAACCTGTCATCCCTTACCATATAATCAAGACATTTTCTCTTCCTAGCATACATTTCCTTGATGATATTTCTCAGCCTTATTCTTCTTAGAAGTTCCTCATTGGTTAACTGTTAAAATCTGCTCACATCAAGTACCTCTCTCTTATCCTCTGATATTTAATTCAAGAATTAATGAATCATGAAAGCATGTGCTTTGCTTATTTTTTTTTTAAAAAGATTTCACACTTTCCTGATTAAAGTACACAAAAATCTCACATGAAGTCTTTTTAAAGCACTAGGCCTTTATCTCTTCTCTGTCCTTCATTATAGTCCAGATGGCAAATCTGAGTGAAGCTTGAATATTCTGGTGAAAACATTAACGGTGTTATTTATGAACACTTTTTATAACATTTTACCACTTGTGGGTTTTATGCCTGGGCGATGGGAAACAGTTTCTTTAATGGAAACTTGGAAAATAATAAAAATGTCTTTATGGATGTCTTTACTCTGTCAGTAAAAGCTGAAGAGACTGACAAAGTTAAAAATAATGATGCATTTGCATATGCCTAAATTTTCCAGAGTTCTTGGCACTTGATCAGAATCTTCTCAATGTATAAATAATCCCATGTGTCACCACCATACAGCAATACTGGTAGAATGTTAATGTAAAAGGATATAATAAGATTGCATAACTTTTAAGTAGCTGGATCTTTGTTTCCATGGGAAACTTGGTGTCACTAATAGAACTTCACAGTTTCCAGAAAGTAATCTAGCCATCTCTCCTCCTGTTCAACTTTGGGCCCAAGTCATCATCCATCTATCTGTCTTGCCTACTTCAGATATACCTACTGATGGACAAACTTCATAAATTTTTCACAAATTTCCCTGTCATAAACCAGGCAATAGACATTCTTCATCTACTTGACATTTCCTGTGTAGATGGTCACTCCTTTGAGTGTTTCTTGCTAAGGAGCCTCTGCAATATTTCAGGGCTTGTTGCAGCCAGTACAATATTATCCACAAATGGGCTTTGGGAGGACATTACCACACACAGAAAAACCCTCTTCAACTTGTACTCTGTGCCGTACCTTCTGTATATTAGTGTCAAGCATGATTGGAAAGTATTTCCCTGTTACATGCCTTGCCTGATATTTATGTTATTACTAGAAAGGGTTATTTCTAATCTCGTGTCTTTCAAGGAATCTCGAGTGATATCGATGTATGCCTGGGAGACATCTTGTTGGAAAAGAGTATGTAACGGCAGTATTTTGTAAAATAAATCAAATATTGCATAATAATCAACAAACAAGTACAATGAGATTATATATTCTCTATTATCTTTCAGTCAATTGCACATGAGACATGAAGCAAAAAGCAAGGCAACAAGCATTTAAATGTTTACTATGTGGCAGGTACTGTCCTCAGTGTTGGGGATATAAATAGAAGCCAAAAAAAGAAACAGTTCCTGCCCTCAAGAAGTTTACATTCTAATGGAGGAAGGTAATATACAAAGGGAGCTGAATATGGTGGTGGAGAAGGAGGGGAAGTATCCGCATAGGAACTTAGTATCGATGAATCAGAAACAGAGCTTGGAGGGGAATGAAGAAAGCTGACCTGGGCTCCTCCCCAAAACGAAGGCCCCAAGAGGAAATCATTGATAGGAGAAGTGATCAACATGTTGGAGAAGGTCATAGGCACTTAGGAAAGTTCCAGGGTGATATGGTGTCTGAGGCAAAGTCTGGAGTGTCAGAAGGAGAGGTGGGAGGTGAATGAAGACCGGCCTAGGTCTCTCCCCAAAATGGAAGCCCCAGGGAGAACTCGCCAATGGAAGAAGAGAAGTTCCAGGGTGATACGGCAGCAGTGGAAGAAGGGGAACCAATACAGTGAAAAATTTTTCCAGGGTGAGAAGGCCTTGGGCACTGAGGGAATTTCTGGTACCTGAGGCACGAAG